AGGCCAGTCTGGGTGAGCTCCACACCAGCCTGAACTATATAGAAAGAGCCTGTCTTAAAAAGCAAACAAAAAATAAATAAATAAAGAGTTAAGGATGTAGCTCAATTCAAAGGCCCTAGATTCAACCCCCAGTACCACAAAACAAAACAAACAAATATAGAGGCCTCTGAGAAGACTTGGAAGCACAGTGACCCCAAAGGCACTGTCCACAGAAGAGCCAGGCTTGGATGGCATCCTGACTGGCCCAAGGCCACACTGCTGCTGAGGAAGAAAGCCAGCCCTGCTGGCTGCCCCCCAGGCCCCGTGTGGAATGCAGGTTAAGGCCCGAGTGTGAAAACGGATGCCCACTGGCCTCAGCAACCCACAGTTTGTTTTCTTTGCCACTGGCCACCTTTCCCAGAAACCGCACTCAGGAAAGCTCCTAGGCTTCTCCCCACCCCCAGTCACTACCCCAGCCAAACCAAGAATCGGCAACAAGGCGTAACCCTCCTCCCTCCTGCGGCCATCTGGGTACACAGGGTTTTTACTTGCATCACCTCGTGTCACCCTCCAGAAACCTGGGGCCAAATTGCTTGGGAAGGTCCAACCCTCACTCTGGGCTACAAGGTCCAGACTCCAGACTCTTCACCTAAAACTACCAGATGTGGTACTAACAGACGTGAAAAATAATCCTCCTTTAACAACAGACATAGGGCCAGAGGTGGGGGTGGGGTAGCTCAGCAGGTTTAAGTGCCTGCTTGGCCAACACAAGGTTGTGAGTTCAATTCCCAACACCAAAATAAATAAATAAATAAATAAAGATGGACAGAAGAACCTGGTGGGGCTGGGGATTTAGCTCGGCGGCATAAGCGCCTGCCTTGCATGCAGGCAGTCGTGAGTTCGATCCCTGGTACCAATAAAAAAGGAAAAAGACAAAAAAAAAGAAGAACCTGGTGTGGTGTGCACTCCTGTAATCCCAGCACTCAGGAGGCTGAACCAGGAGGACTGTCACAAATTCAAGACCTGTCTGGGCTACAAAGGCCAACATCAGCCTGAACTGCATAGGGAGACCCCATCTCCAAAAGACCAAAAAAAAAAAAAAACAGACAAATGTAGATAGCAGAAGTTCATGAAATCCTTGGAAATCAGAAACAAACAAAAAGAACAAAACGATCACCCAGAGCTCTGTGGCTCCTGGCCTGAGAGCAGCTGCTGCTGGTCACTGCTCCTGCTGGGGGAAGGCTATCTCAGGAAGTTGTAGAGGGCGACATGCACCGAACAGAAAACACAGCCACTGGCCCCTGCAGAGGACACCCCATTCTGAGTCACAGTGGGGAACTGGTAGGAAGAGCCAGAGAGCAGAGAGCGGGCGACAGTTCAGTGTTCTTCTGAAACACAGGCATACACCTGACCTTGAAAGATGGTCTTGACAATAAATGGTCTTGACTGCGGCACAAACACCTACAAACCTCAGGAAGACAGGGCAGAAAAGAACAAGTGCCAGTGAAGCTCAGTGGCAGATCGAGTGCTTGTGGAACCTGTACGAGGCCCTGGGTTCCAGCCCCAGCACCATAAAAAGGAGAAAATAGATGAGTACCAACTGGAGGCAACCTGATGGAACCTTTCCTGAAGGTCAGCAAAGACATTAGACTCTGGAGTCCCACAGGCCTGGCTCCATCGGACTTCCTGTTTTATCATACTTGTGATCTTGGATATGTTTCTTTTCTTTGTCTTGTTTGTTTTGTTTTGTTTTTTGGACCAGGAATCAAACTGAGGACCTTGTGCTTGCTAGGCAGGTGCTTACGCAGCTATACCTCCCGCCCGCCTTTTGGGTTTTTTCAGACAAGGTCTCACTATGTATCCAGGCTGGCCTGGAACTTACAGCGATCCTCCTGCCTCAGCCCTGAGTGCTGGAATTATAGGCATACAGCACCATGCCCAGCAATTGTGACTGCGTTTCTTAATTTCTCTGAACCAGTCTCCCTGCCCACAAAATGGGACCTGCCTCAAACAGTTATTAAGCACAGTCCAGGAGAGAAGGCACAGAAGGTGCCAAGCACGGTGCCAACACAGTGGTATTAAATATATGGTGGCTGCTGTCATTATTGCCATCCTGTCTCAGCCTCTGACATGGGCTCAGGAGCTGCAACTGACCTGAGGTGGGTCAGGCGGTTCTGAAATGGAGAAGATGCATTCAGGAAGCAGAGATGCCGCCTTCCCTTCCTGGGACAGTGTGGCTGGTGTCCCAGCAAACCACACCTGCAGAACCCACCACAGCCTCGCTGGGAGAAATAAATAAGGTGGGAAGGAGCCCCATGGCTGGTGATGACAGAGGAAGGAAAATGAGCCATCTTTCTGCAGGCCACTAAATGTAATAAAAGGAGCTAGCTTCCACGGGGGCCCCAGAGGGCGCCCTGCTAGTCACTCCACCAGCAGGCCTTCAAGTGCGGCAGCCTCCAGGTGCTGGGTGCAGCAGGCCTTCCTCGGAAGACACCTACCTCCACGATCTGCTCATGCTCAGGCCCATCTGTGGGCCACTCTCCCTCACTGCTCCCAGCCTGGGTCAGCAGCCCAGCCACACCGCCTGGATTTTCTCTGGGTCTCTGCTACTTGTACAAGATCACCTACCCTATCTCCATGCTATCAGTAAGATGGGAGAATCACAGCGCCTACCGCTAAGGCTGGGAGAGGCTTAAATTAATCTAGCCCAACGCACTCTCGGGGGCCTGATCACTGGGGAAACTGCCAAGCCAGTATTTGCTAAACTAGAAAAACAAAATGAAGCCAGGCATGGTGGCATACACTTGAACTCAGGAAGCTGATGCAGGAGAGTTGCGCTACATTAGATGCCAACATGGGCTAATAGTTGGAGCCAGTTTGAAGAACACAATGAGACCCTATCTCAAAAAACAAACAAAAAATTAGTAAAAAAATTTTTAAAAAAATCCCTCCAGCTACTTTCATCTGAGCTTATTGCCTGATCCCCAGGAATGGGTCACCATCAAATATCAAATCTTGGGGCTCATTTTCAGATAGGAAACTGAGGCTCTGAGAACTACAGAGCCTGACTTGAACCCACCTTCATGTCTGGCCCCCCTGTACTGAGACTGTCCCAGATGACCTGTTCCTTCTTTGCTTGTCCCCACCTTTGTATGTCTCTGTATCTATTCCAAGTGCAGTGGCATCCCTAGCTATTCACATGGGCCTTCTAGGAAGACCTCCCACTCCAAGCAAAACAAACCTCCCTCCTCCACACTGGAGCATAATGCAATTTGACAACACAATGGTCCCGTGTGTCCTCCTGGCAAGTGCACGACGGTGGAGCACAGGGTCTGATTAGGCTCAGCTCCTGTCCTTGGGAAACTCAGATTAGTCCTCCCTATCTGTATCCTAGCTCTTTCAAGGTAGCAGCAGGGTCTGGGCGCACTAAGGAACCAGCACAGATCTCCACCTTCAGGGCATTCTTCTGCCACTGCCTTGGGACACTGACCTAGCTGAGTAGAACAAGATAGGAGGGGACCTTTCAGTGTGACCTGCAGCACCCTCCAGAATCAGGAGGCTAGCAGGGTGACCTTATGATAGGAACACACAAATCCTGTGTTCCTCAATTTATACTTTTTTTTTTTTTTGGTACTGGAGATGGAACTCACCACCTCACACTTGCCAGGCAGGAGTTTACGCTGCTGAGTTAAACCCCCAGCCCGTATCCTCAAATTATCAGTGAACTGGACAGTGAACTAGAGATAAAAATGCATACTCCTCACCGAACTACCTAATTATAGAGACTTAAGTCACCACCCTCCCAGCAATGAGATGACCACTGCAAACCCAGGACTTCTTTTCCTCTTCTCCCAACCCGCCACGCCCCTCCATTTTCACAAAACCAGTCCATTTCCTATAGGAAGTCATCCCTAACTTCTTCAGGTTACACTGGGCTCTGTTCTCTGGGCTTCCAATGTACTGACTTTAGTTAAGAGTTGGGCATTTTCTCATTGTTTCACTGGATCACTAGAACTAACTTAGCCTTTCCAGCCTCGATGTGAGTGCTCAAACCTACCCCACAGCTGCTCCAGGGGTCACTGAAAAGTACTTTTGGCCAGACAGCCAGCACTCTCAGAAAGGGTGATGATTTGGAATCAGAAAACCAGGCAGGACTCTAGCTCTGTTGTGTGAGTTTCCAGCAAGACACCCAATTCGCTCACCCTCAGGGTTCTCATCTACAAAGTGAGTATTGAAAATGCCTCTCTGAAGTAATCACCGTGAAGGGCCGACAAGCCAATACAGGTAAATAGTCTTTTGTTATAAATCAAGAACCACTATTTAAAGGATTAATTTTTAGATTCTCAAACTCAAACCCCTTGATACCGCAAATTCCCTATACCTGAGAAGCACGTGATCCGCTTCTCCCAAAGAACTTCTTAGGTTCCAAATATTCAACAAACCAAATTCTGACCAGCAAGACCTCAACAGCTTCCACTCCCTGCATTCATGGAACACAAACCCCACCTCAGCTCAGGGATCTCTCTTGCCTCGGGTCTCCTCGCTCCAGGAGACAGGATTGCCCTTCTCAGCTCCAGTCTCAAACCTGGTCCAACCAGGTCTGGGCCTGGCATCATTTCTAGTTTGCAGTCAACTTCCAAGGGAGGTGAAAGCAGGGAGGGAGACACACACCGTTGTGTGTATTTGGGGGGGGGGGAGTCTTGGTAGTAGAACAAAAAATTTCACTAGAATTTTGTGTCCAACACATTTGCTAAATGTACTATAATTATCGCATTTGTGTGAAAATTCAACAAGATCTGCATTCTGCTATTTCCATCAGACTGGGTGAATTGCAAGCGCTGAGGAAAATAACAAGAAGCTGGGTTCCAAGCCTTGTGCTTAGGAACCAAAGTCCCAGCTAACAACATGAGACATTAAACCCCTGATCACACGCTGCCAGCCTCCAGCCCCTATCTTCCCACTCACCCTCATCCAGGCTTCCATGTGCAGACCCAGCCCCCAGTCTTCCCATTTATGCCATGCTGGCACCAGAGCAATCCAGTTCTCCCAGGCGGAAATGTTTCCACAGGATCCTTTTCCTCCTGGGAAACCTGCTTTGTCTCTCGGTGAAGGACTCCCAAACTGGGCACTTCATGAACAGAATCAGATAGTTTAGAAGAAAAGGAAGAGGGAGCAGATCCTGGAGTGGACCCCTGACAGCTGAGGGCAGCTGGGCTGGATGGAGGGGTGAGTAGGTTCAGGGCCTCCTGACCCATCAACCACACTGGATGCCCAGCCCCAGGCACCAGACCTAAAGCCCTGCACACCGGTGTCCCCACCATGAGCCTCCCAGTCCAGAGACTGGTTACCCCTCAGAAAGCAATGACAGATCCTGCGACCGGAAATGTCCTTCTGCCAGCGGAGCCCAGACCGCGCCCCCTTTTCCTGCCGCCCCCTCTGGCACGGCCCGGCGGGCCGCAGGCCCCGGATCCCCGGGCTTGCGTGGCGGCCGCAGCCGGCGAGGATGACCCATGTCAGGGCCGCGTCTCCCCGTCCTCCTCGCGGCTCCTTCCACTCCAGGCGCTGCGGAGCCCAGCCAAACACAAAAGGAAAGGGGGGCCCCTGCCATCCCTCCACCCCCTGCTCGCAGCCAGTAAGGCATCCTCGTAGCGCCAAAGCTCCAGACCCCGAGAAACGATCCCTCCACCCCCATGTAGAAGAAAATCTCAAGACACCCCCGGGGGTTGCAGAAGCAGGGCCATTTCCCCAACGGCAGGTGGCCCCGGACGCACAACTTTGAAATTATGGGGCAGCAACGGTCCGGGACCGGAGAAAAGGAGGGATCCTCAAAGAAAGCTCATGCGGATGTGGGGGAGGGCTGTTGCTTTATTTTTGCAAAACCCCATTTCCAGGGAGGACGGCGTGCGGCTCCGGCCTGGATGGGGGTTTTCTAACGCCTCCTGCCGACCCCCGGGAACCCCAAACTCCGATCCCCGCCGTCGGCTCCGGACGCGGGCCCCGGCCTCCTCAAGCACTCACCTCGGCCGGGCTGCGCTCCCCGCGGGCCTGCGCCGAGCCCGATAAGTGGTATGCTATGACTAGAGGTATGATTACGTTATTATTATTATTATTAGTAATAATAAGAGTAAATGCTATTTAATTACGGGCGGCCGCATCCTGCTCCCCGCGCCGCCGCCCCGGCAGCTGGGTCCTCGTGGCTCCCGAGCGCCCCGCGTTCATCTCAGCCCCGGCCCGCGGCTCCCTGGCTCGCGGCTGCTGCCGCAGGAGGCCCCGTCTCCCTGCACTCAGCTCCTCGGTCCTAGAGCGCGCCGCTCCGCGCCCGCCGCGCCCACCGCGCAGGGGTGGGCGGCACCTGGGTGGGGGGAGGGGAGCCCCCTTTCCAGCGCAAGCTCAAGTCTGGAATGCACCTTTGTTTTCTCTAATAAACAGCGCCGTTGGCCTTGAGGGGATTCACGTTTGGCGGTTGTGCATTTCTGATGTTGGACAAACCCAGCGTCACCACCCTTTCAGCATCTAAGTAAAAAGCCCTTCTTTTCTCCCCCAGACCCCTGATGGCCCCTTGTGTCCTTTTTTGTGGATGAAGACCCCCGAGGCTCCAAAGGAAGCAGCAGCTCATTTGGCTTTGGGGGGGGGGGAGTTTAAAGGGAAAAAAAAATTATATGACACTTGTTAAAGACTGTGTCTTTATATTCAAGGGTTCCCCTTGGTGGGTGTGGGGACCAGAATTCCAGAATGGAGTTCTGCAGTGACATGAGAGATCCTGGTCTCAATTCCATTTCGGCATGGAGACTGGGAATTTATAACCAGGCAGCAAGAGGGAATGGGGGGCTGGTCAAAGGGTAGAAAATTACCAAGAGAAACCTTGAAAGGTAAGGAATTAGGCCTAAACTGACCTAGCAGGATTCTTGCTAAATAGAGGCAGGGTCTGACTAATCAAGCATCACCCTGGCCACTAGTGAAGGAGGAAGAAATGGAGTAGACATTGGTGACGAACAGAGCTGGAGAGTGGGGGATTCTAGCTAAACCAAGTTAATAGGATTCTTGCTAATATTGGACAACACACAGATTAACACAGGAGTCCAAAAGTCAAGGCCTGGTTGCAAAGTTCAGGGAAACTGAAGTAGAATTTGACCAAGGAGGAATCTTTGTCAAAGATTTTTTCAGGGAGATTTGAGCTTGCTTTGAGCACTCACTAGGCAAGTGTAGATTAACCAGACGCCACCGCTGTAGGCACCCAGGGCCCTGCTTCCAACCCAGTAATGATCAAGCTGGATTAGTTTCCAAACCCTTTAATTCAAATAATATTTATCCCACATCCCACTCCCAGCAGCACTGGTTGCTGACGAACCCGCGTCCCCATGAGTGTTCTCTGTGATTTCCCTCTTCGCCTTAATTCATTTTCTCCACACATGCATGTATGTATATTTAATTTATTGCAGATCAGCTGTGAGCCTGGCAGGCTTCATCTTTACAAATGTTATCTCTTCCACAAACATTTGTGCCAGACACAATCTTAGCAATTTGGGATACAACAGTAAGACGGTTTTGGGGTCTTTTTTGTTTTTGTTTTTTTTATCGGTACCAGAGATCGAAATCACGACTGTGGGCTTGCAAAGCAGGCACTTAAGCCACTGAGCTAAATCCCCAGCCCCTAGTAAGACAGTTTTATAAAAAAAAAAAAAAAAAATTGGGGGGGCTTTTTTTTTTGAGAAAGGGTCTTGCTGTGTATCCCAAGCTGAACTCAGTGATCTTCCTGCCTCAGCTCTGGAGTGCTGGATTCACAGTCATGCATCACTACACCTGTGGTGGCTGTGGTTTAGCTCAATGGCATAAGTGCCTGCTTCGAAAATACAAGATTGTGAGTTTGATCCCCAGCACATACACAAAAAAAATGACATTTTTTTTTTTTGTCTTTTTCTTTTTTTATCGGTACCGGGGATCGAACTCACGACTGCCTGCTTGCAAGGCAGGCGCTTATGCCGCTGAGCTAAATCCCTAGCCCCCAAAAAATGACATTTTTTATGAGACATATTTTGAATATTTAAATGCATTCTAGGGGGCTGGGGATTTAGCTCAGCGGCATAAGCGCCTGCCTTGTAAGCAGGCAGTCGTGAGTTCGATCCCTGGTACCGGTAAAAACGAAAAAGACAAAAAAAAAAATAAAATAAATAAATAAATAAATGCATTCTAGTAGGTACTGGAAAGGCCAAAATCTGGGGCTATATTTACTTATTTAATTTTCACAGTAATCGTAGATTAGTATATCCATTTCACAGATGAGATTCAACAGACAGGCTTTGACATGTGAAGAGGTATTGTAGTTAGGGGTTGCAAGGAGAACAATTATATACAGGACACATAATTTATAATATTATTTATAATGCGCACCCAAGGAGGCAAATACAAAGAAAGTGCAAGAAGTCTTTCTATATACTATAAAGACCTAAAGAATGCAGCTGGAGGGGCTGGGAATTTAGCTCAGCGGCATAAGCGCCTTCCTTGCAAGCAGGCACTCCTGAGTTCGATCCCTGGTACTAGTAAAAAGGAAAAAGACAAAAAAAAAAAAAAACGCAGCTGAGAGCCTGGGTCCCATGGCAATACCCTGTATGAGTTCAGCCGAAAACTTGGAGCCCACGACAATGACTCATGCAAGTCTGTTTCATAGATCTGTGCTGGGAAAGCCCAAAGGTCAGCGGTGTAAACCAGAAAGTCTGTGCCAGCGGGATGAAGGATTTGTGCCAGTAGGTTGAGGATTCTGCACTGGAGCCAGGAAGAAATCCTCAAAGTAAGAATCAGGGTTCCCCTGAAAAGTATCACAGCCATCCTCAGTGAAAATGAGGTCCTGAGTTCTGATGATGAAGGCTGCAAAGTACATATGAGGAAGCCAGTGTGACTAGCTTCTCCTGGAGACTGAACAGCACACATCTTCCCCTCTGGAGCCAGGAAGCAATGCTTGAAGTAAGGACCAGAGTTCCCCCAAAGTGAACCACAGCCATTCTCAGTGACAACAAGGTCTCGAACTCCTCCAATCATAACAGCCAAGTTCATATCAGGGAAGCCAGGACAAGGAGCTCCTTCAGGAGAACCAACAGATCCATACAACACTCATTTAGGATAATCCACAACACTACTCTCATCCTCTCACTTCTTTTTAGGTGGGCCATCTACACTAAATCCCATGCTGATTCAGTTTAGCTAGTGTTTAAACTGACCATCAGCTTTTAGTCCACCACAAGAGGACAGACATTTTCAGAAACAAAAGCAGGGAACAATGCCTCTCCAACATCACTGATGATTTGCGGGTATCAACACCTCGGGGTTAAACTCAAGATCATGGGCTAAGGTCAGTGACAGGCCATGCCTGGTGATTCAGTTGGACAATGTGGGGATGTCCGTGAGGTGGAGTTAAGAAGACCAAGGTTCCTAGCTCTGCCACGTGTTGGCTGTGTGATCCTGGGCAACCTCAGTTTCCTGATTTGTAAAATAAAGGTGAGAACATGAATTGATATAAAGTTGTATCTAGCATTAGTGGGAAACAATGCCTGTTAAACATGTAGTACAGTTACTAGTCAGCAATAAGAGCCAAAAAAAAAATTCATTCCCATGCTGTGCAATTCAGAGGGAGACCCCCTTGAGACTTATCCCATTAGACACCTCTGTTATTAGTACTCTTGGTTGATGCTGAAGCCAGTTGGACTGCACAGCTAGGTCACATCTTGTCTCAAATGTAGCAGCTGCCAAATGGCCTGGAGATTTCATCACCCCACGTGCTAATAAAATAAGATACAGCTTTCAAGATGAGCACTCCTGGGCCAAGGATTTAGCTCAGCAATATATAAGTGCCTGCCTGGCAAGCATGAGGTCATGAGTTCGATTCCCTGGTCCAAAAAAAAAAAAAAAAATCTAGACCTTTCCAAATTGCAGATGTTAAAACCCTAATCTTCAGTGTGATAGGGTTAGGCAGTGATAATTAGATCATAAAAGTGAAGCACAGCAGGACATGGTGATATATACCTGTAGTCCCATAATTTGGGAGGCTGAAGCAGGAGGATTGCCATAAGTTCAAGGATAGCCTGAGGTACATAGTGAGTTGAGACCAGCCTGGACTGCACAGTTAGACCCTGTCTCAAAAAACAAAAAACAAATAAACAACAACAACAAAAAGGACTGAGGATGTAGCTCAGTGGCACAGCGCCTGCCTAGCAAGCTTGAGGTCATGCGTTTGATTCCTGGTACCAAAAAAGGATTGACGTCCTTGTTTTTGTGTTTTTCATTTTTTAATTTTTATTTATATTTATTGGTCCTGGAGATCGAACTCACGACCACAGGCTTGTAAGGCAGGCGCTTATGCCACTGAGTTAAATACTTGGTCCTTTATTTTTTATTTTTGTGTTTAAATTTTTTTTTTTTTTTGTACCAGGAATCAGAGTCATGACCTAGCACTTGCCAGGCAGGTGAATTATGCTGCTGATCTAAATCCTCAGCCCTTTTATTATCTTTTTGAGACAGGGTCTCACTATGTGGTTCAGGCTGGCCTTATAAAAAGGAAAAAGACAAAAAAAAAGGTATCAGAGAGTTCTCTTTTCTCCATCTCTCTCACCCCTCCCCCCTCCGTCTCTTTTTTTTTTTTCCCCCGGTACCGGGGATCCAACTCACGACTGCCTGCTTTCAAGGCAAGCGCTTATGCCGCTGAGCCAAACCCCCAGCCCCTTTCCCTCTGTCTCTTGTCCTTCTCACTCTGCCAGCTGAAGGAAATGGCCATTTGTAATCCGTGATAATGCTGTTCACCAAGAACCTGACCATCTGGAACCCTGATTTTGGACTTCCAGCCTCCAGGTCTGTGACTTTATTATATTTTTGGGGTCACTTGAGCAGCGAGTAATGAGAGTGTAAGCCAGCAGGTTTTCCAGCAGGGACACTGTCCTCACACAATCCTAGGTGATCTAGCCTACCACACACCTAGGCTATCGATACGCGTGACTGGAACTACCTGATGTGGCGCATGGCTGTACTTACTCCACGGGGAATGTGGGGCGTCGGGGAACTGAACCTCGGTGTTCCCTACCACATTGCTTTTCTGCCTCAGGACTCAAACTGACCTATTAGCTCTTCCTTGGGCTTGGCCACCTTCAGACTGGAGCCACATGGGCTCTTTCGAGTCTCCAGCTTGCTGAACACAGATTTTAGGACTGTCAGGGGGCCAGGAATGAGGGGCAATGATAGAAGACTGGCCTAGAATGTGTGAGACTTGGATTTGAACCCCAGCACCACAAATACATGCGCGCACGCGCGTACACACACACACACACACACACACACACACACACACAGATGGAATCCAGGGCCACTCGCCTGCTGGGTAAGATGGCTACCACTGAGCAGCACCTACCTGTGCTTTTTATTTTATTGCCCTTTCAGAACAAAATGAGAAGGTCATCTGTCAAAATCATTTGGTAGCAGAGCGCCCTCAAAAAGAGTTGGAGCAGGGCTTCAGCTTCCCTGTGGAGACTGACCTGATCTTTTCTCTTCTTTGGCCCCTGGTTTGTCAGAACCAGAGCCGGAAGGGTGCCGGGCGGCACAGAGATGTTTGATAATTTCCTGGAGTGAAGAGTGTTTAGCCAGGAGGAAAACACTTACTTTCTCATCGGGAGCCCCGGCCTGAAGGGGTTGGCAT